AAAAATTCTCATACAAATTCCTAAAAAATAAGTCGAAACCCCCCCCCCCCCCCCCCCCCTGTTGTGACACCCCCCAAAAATTATACTGGTCTAATGTCCGCCTGTTCAAAATACGGTACACCATTCTGTAATGAGTGTTAATAATCGTCGAATTTGAACAGCCCCCCCCCCCCCCCAGTTTTTGATTTTACGGAGGCCAAGTGTCCGGGAAAAAAAACGTGTGTACATTTTCAGATTTTTTGGCTGATGAAACCCCCTCCCCCCTGCGAAAATTCCTGGATCTGCCACTGCTTTGGGCACTAAAATCAATCCGATTGCCTTTATACCTGGCACACACTTAGACCACCATCCACAGATGTGTGCCGAACATTGAAGTCATCGTGACGTCATCACGAGTCACGTGACGTCACAATATAGGTGCATATTGCCATGACAACAGGTCCGATTGGGTTAAAACTTGGTACGTACGTAAACCGGGATGTGTTATAGATGAAATTTAAATGACGTTATGATGACGTCATCACGTGACAAGTGACGTCATATTAAAAGTGCATACTTTGAAGGCCTATATCTACAGAACAACATGCCCGATTGGGTTAAAAGTTGGTAGTTACCTAGACCGGGATGTGTTATAGATAATAAAAAAAATGAAGTGACGTCATGATGACGTCATCATGGGTCACATGACGTCACGTTAAAGATGAATAGATTTAATCTTTGAAAATCACTTTAAAATCAACTGTGAGAGACCTGAACATGACTTTTGCGGGAATTGATATAATAATCCAAGGTCTTCATTTTTGATATTATGTGCAAAATCATGTGACACTTCCTTCCGGTTGAAACCGGAAGTGCCTTGTAATTTAAAATTGGACAAAGGTGTGAACTTGCTTTCAACGATGTATGCTCTGGCTAAGTTGTTATTTCCAAATAAATTATAGTTATAGATGCAAATTGATGTGACGTCATTATGACATCATCACATGAAATGTGACATCATAATTCAAAGCCCAATGAGAATGAAATCACATATTATATGACACAATTTATTATAAACAGAACTACACATCCTGCCTGGATGGAACTAGTTGAAACTTTACATGTCACATGTCACAAAAAGTAACCGAAACAGCCCTGTGTTTGCCTACAAACATAAGTCTAGTTGAGTATTATTTTTGGAGGAGTGTGGGGGCACAAGGATTTGGTTGTATATTTCACATGAGTATAATGTTTAGACATTTGTAAACAATCGGCATCACAGCAATTCATTGATGTAACCAGTTAAGAGAAATGTGAAATGAACTTGTCACCAAGCCAACCTACTCTCCACGCCCCCCTCCCCCCCAAAAAAATGACCAGGAAAATCTTGTACCTCAATCTGTTTGGATTTACTCAGCAAGATGTACATTTTTGGCCCTTAGTTAAGATTTTATGTTTTTAATGAAATACTGTTTTTAATGAAATACTGTGGGCATATGGAGTCCTCCCCCCCCCCATTTTGAAAATGGATGCCGCGCCTCTAAACGGGTAAGTTTGTGATGGCTTCACATTCGAAAAAAGAAAGATTTTCATGAATGTATTGTCCGTGTGGAGTTTCATCCATTTATAAAAGGTAGGCACATTTTTTTTTATAGGGGCATCATGACTACCCCCCCCCATTTTACTATGGTTGCCACGCCCCTAAAAGGGTGTGTTTGCGATGGCTCCACGTCTGAATTTTTTCTCTTGAATATTAATGTCTGTGGGAATTAGCTTCATTCGTTTATGAGATGTGGGCACATTTTTTCCCATGGTGGGCATAATGAGAACCCCGCCCCCTTTTTTTGAATATGGCTGCACGTCTTGAATATTTTTCCTCATGAATGTCAATGTCTGTGCAAAGTTCCATTTCTCTATGAATGTGGGAACAATATTTCCATGGTGGGCATAATGAAAACCCCGCCCCCTTTTTTTCTAATATGGTTGCCACGCCCCTAAAAGGGTGCGTTCGAGATGGCTCCAGATCTGGATTTTTTGTTTTAATGAATATAATTGTCTGTGGGACGTTTAATTTTTTCATGAAATATGGAAACAATTTTTTCCAATGTGGGCATTATAATTACCCCCCTTTTTTAAAATGGCTGCCACACCCCCAAAAAGGTACTTTTGTGGTGGCTCCAAATGTGGAAAACACTTATAATCTATATAATTATGTCTTTGTGAAGTTTCCTGCTTTTGTGACAAGTGGGAACAACCGTTTTCACTGCAGGCACGACAAGTCCCACCCCCCTTTTTTTAAATGGATGCCACGCCCCTAAAAGGGTACATTTGTGATGGCTCTACATCTACAACATTTTCTCGCATGAATATAAACATCTGTGCCAAGTTTTATGCTTCCATGCAAAAGTGCACACAATTTTTTCATATATCCGCTGGACTATACCCCTCTCCTCCCCGATAAAAGAAATCCTCTTAAAAAAATACAGGAAGAACACCCTTAATTTACATTTAAAAGGACTCATCTGGCTGTATTCATTTGAGCAAAATTGTTACAATTGCTCCTGCAATATACATGGGAGAGATAAGTCATGTGGGATCAATAACTTTGTTTGTGTCTTTTTGCTTTCTAGAGGCAGAGTTGTAATGACTTGAGTCATTGACTCGACTCGAGTCACAATTTTTGGTGACTCGACTCGACTCGAGTCCCTAAGGGTAAATGACTCGACTCGACTCGAGTCACTGCGAGCTAATGACTCGACTCGACTCGACTCGAGTCCCTCATCAAAAGACTCGACTCGACTCGAGCGAATGCTAATAAGACTCTAGTCTCAAAAATAAAAGCACAACTTTGCGAAAAGTATTTGCAATGACTTACGGTGCAAATTTTGTGCTTGCTTCGATTTGTGAATAGCAGTCATGTACACATATAACGTGTCACAGACTCCCACCTCATGGTTCTAGAACGCACAAAATGCTATCTAGGAACCAGATTTTTAAACAAATTTCTAATTCGCTGTTTCATCGTTGGCTTTGGGCGATTTCTTATAAAGCTCTTGGATTCGAACACTGGCTAAACTTATGGCCTCCTTTTATAAATGTTGGTATATAGTGTTCAAATATTCGCGACTCGAATTGACTCGAGCTAAATATTTGACTTGACTCGACTCGACTCAACCTTTGGACCTAATGACTCGACTCGACTCGAGTCACTTCTTTAAAATGACTCGACTCGACTCGAGTCACTTCTTTAAAATGACTCGACTCGACTCGACTGTAACCTATGATCCATTCCGGCTCTGATGTGTCATCAAATGTTTTTTTTTCAACATCTACAAAAATCGCTCCTTGTTAATGACTGTAGGCAATAACATCTGTGTACTGTTGTAGTCTCCATTGTGTGGCTGAATTGACTTACAAAGGATTTGTTGCATGGATACTGTGGCGGGGTCCTGGACCTTAAACCACATATTCCCATGTGCACTGGACTGTAAAGATTTCAGCCGCTTTGTGTATGAAATGTGTGAAGTTGGTTTGTACTAACTGTACAAAATGACAGTTTACAAGTACACATACATGTACAGCACACATAAACCTGAACTCCCTAGCATGATTTTCTATAATAATATACAAAATTACATGTAGAGTTATTCAGAATTAGATCAATGGACTCAATTGCAGTGTTTAGAATTAGTACTTGAAACTTTGTATTTGACTGAATATATATAAGGTTTACTTGGTGTCATCATCATTAACCAGGCATCCATTTTTTATTTAATTAACTTTTGAGATTATCCCTTTTGATAGTACCCCTATGATTTTTTAGCCTAGTAGAATACTTCCTTACTGACGTTTCACAACTTATGAAAAAAATCCAAGTAAACAGGACATAAACATGGCTAAAAAACAACAAAGGATTCCATATTGCACTGGTCACTTGATGGAGTGCAAAACAGGCAAACTACATGAATCATGTTACTAAAGCAGAGGATAACACTGTACAGGGTCAAAAAGACTGTTTTCAAAAAGAGACGGGTTGCTTTCCTGATAGGCTTTGAACTAATCTGTTTCTTAACAAATTCGTCAGTAATGTCAGGAAAAACAAACTCCTCCAAGTTGTAGTGAGCCGCAGCATGAACATTGGTACTTATCATCCCCATAAAGCAACACTTGACTGAATATTCTCGGCCATGCGCTGACCATGTGTCGAGAAGTTGTCATTGAATACATCAGCCACATCGACCAGATCATTCAGTTGCTCTTCACATTGGGAAGTGATAGAGGTCACTACACTCTAAAAAGTAGATGAGTTGCTTTTGTTTGACTCAATAGCAGAAACAAAGTAGCTGCTCTTGTCCTCATGCATACGCCCAGTTACGCAGGCACATGTGTGTAATTTCTTTCCCATGACACAGCCTGTGACCGATGGGTTGTATGCACTATTTTGTGAACTACACCTCAGTGGTTAAAGTGAACAGCTTTTTTTGTTGTTGTTAACCTGGCACCTGTGGAAACCAAACATTACACAGAACAGTTGGAACATGTGATATAAATTACTAGCCCCCCAAAACATGTTCATTTACGAAGAAAGTACAGCAAATACAAATGTTGTCTACAGCCTTTAATTTATGTAAAAATGACCCACTTCAAACATGATTTTCTGGAAACATGCATTTTGCTGTGGGAAGGGACTTTGCCTTGTCATGAAAGCAGTGACTAATTTTTTTTTGTTCCAAAACTATAACACTGTCCTGTAATATAAGCACACAAACGTAAGTTAACAAAAAAATCTCAGAGGACGGCAAATCTGTTCTCTCTCTTGTTGTTCTCAAATGTATATTAAAACATGTTCTTACATGCGCACACAGAAAACTTGCCTTATTATATAGCAGTGGTTATCAAATTAAATATGTTGTCTCTTTTTTTAAATAACAAAAATCAAACATATTGAAGTAAATTTTAAATTATTTGGTGAGATATGGTTATTGCATCTGAAGCTGGTGTGATTCTTTTCATTTATACAGGGAGCCTTTACCAGAGCCATGTGAACCATTTTGTTCCATCCATGATTGTCAAGACACTCTGCAATACAGACATGTGACACAAGACCCATTTGTCATCGTGTCCATCCGGACATTTTCTTCTCAGGTTCACACTCTGCTGCTAATGCACAATGGAAAGATACCACTAATCAGGTACCGTACTTATAGTTTAGTACATTCACATTTACTTTTGATTGTCAATTCAGATATTAATACTAAGACTTCTAGTGTACAAGGCGGTCGCTATAGCAACCACTCAAGAACATTATAATCTTTGCATCTTATCAAAATATTCTCTGCACCAAAGGGTTTACAGTTTAGCTGAGAGATTGAATTTGTAGTTCCGTGTGTTACATATATTCACATTTGTAGAAGATATAGCCCTTCACATATGGCAGAGAAAACTTATGCAGAGAAAAATTATGCTATCATTAACATAAGACTATTACATTGCTCACCACACTACATGCCCTATGGATTGCCAAAATACAATTGGATACTGTATCCTTTTCCAGTCCATGACACTAACATATTCAACTTCCAACACATTCAAAGTATTTGATTTTGTTTATAAATCTGCACTGTTATAAAATACTGTGAACTTTGGTTGGCTAAAAGTGGGCCACCAAAGCAGCAAGGGGTTCCACCCTACAGTATCAAAGACTAAAAAAGATAATTGGGGTGTAAACAAGACCTAAAACAGTCTGGGCTCTACTGAGCGGAGACGTTACTTTAGAAACTCGCGTTTATTTGGTAAACAAAAATAAAATATGATAAGCATTATCAATTTCCAACAGAGGTACAGTGCGACAGAAAAAAGTAATTTGATATAAAAATTACTATGAAATGCAAAAGTGAGATATAAAATAGAGGCATTAAAATGGATTTTTGGTGATGGCATCAAACTCAAAGTAATTCCTAATCCAAGAAGAGCGAACTTTACATTTACGTTGATCAAAACTCAATCCTCTCAGCCCATTTTTAGTTGTCACCATGTCGTTTCTCAAAAACTCATCCAAGTCAGCTAAATTTCCCAACTTTTTTGGCAAATTGTATGCCTTCATAGTTAATGTTGCAATCACTCACACTGAATTGTGCATTTACCCCTCAATTAATGACATAACCAGATTGTTTTAACCAGATTATCATTGAATGCTTCAAGTTAACCCTTGAGTTGGGTTTCAGGTTTGGTTCAGCAAGGTTAGAAATTGTTTTCCAAACAATGTTTCATATCAGGTTCAGGAGCAATCGGTATGTCAAAGCGACGTACATCTTTAACTATCAGCAAGCATAAGAAATTGCAGGACCCAGTGTCCTATTCCAAAATTCAGCCAAGCCATGCCAAAGCAGCCACATGGTTGCGAAGGTGAAGCATGGCCCGTTGATAAGCAAAGTTAATCAAATTACCTACTTAGACGCTATAACAGAGCAGTGAAATTCATGCACCTGAAAAAAACATGGCCTTTTAAATGTTTTGTTTCTCAGAAAATATGCTCAGTATGATTGAAAAGTTAAATTATAACAGAAGAAGAAATTCTAAACTTCATGTCAGTGAAAAAAATCGCCGTCATCGATGCTGAAACCTCAATACTGGTTACTAGTAAAGCTGACCTTCAAGTCAGGAAGACATTGTTCGAAAACATCCCCAAATCTATGTATTCATATCAGTTTCTAGGAATTTCCGAAAGTTGTTATTTCACGAGTAGTTGAACACTTTATATCATCTAAGTATGTTCCAAATTTCAGCTTAATCTGTTGTTGCAAACGCTAGTGTTACACCTTGAACTATCTCCAAGGAAAATTTCCAAACCACATGCATGGTTTTCAGCAAAGATTCAATAGCACCGTAGGCACTATGATTGACTGATTTCGGCCCGGCAACACACTGAAGAAGCGCATATTCATTAGCATCACTTGGCGTGACTTGGCGTTGGTTTTGGTATCGACCAACGGAAGCCGGCAGAAAGGGTGATATTTATTAAGTAATAACTCGTGAAGGAGGCTTTTCTGCAAATTTTTACTGCACACCAGTGGCACAACGCAAAGCCCGCCTGCCGGCCACTGCTACAGAGCCAAAGTTGTCTCTGACCTCATCTGCTGGAGATTGCCTTGCCCCAACAGAGGGAGGAGACCCCTCAACTACGTCGACACTGTATGCAATGATGTGAGCCAGCACGTTGATGACATCACCACGGCCATGGTGGACAAGAGAGTCTGGAGGAGTTTGGTTTCATCCATCTCGGCTGCGGCCGCCCAATGATGATGATGATGATAATGGATAGGAACCTTATTAATATTCGTGAGGCTTGAAAAGTTTGACAGATATTGCAAACACCAGTGTTACAACTTTAAAATGTGCACGTAGCCAGGCCTATTTTTCCAATTTCAACAAAAAGTAATGAACATATCACAACGATTTTTAGCACATACTTGGATCATTATAAGGGAAATAAGGGGGGGGGGGGAGGGGTTTCATCAGAAAAAAAAATCTGAAATGTAGACAGCTTTTTTTCACTTGGCCTCCGTAAAATAAAATAATGGTGTTTTTTTTTGTGTTTTTTTTCAAATTCGACAATTATTAACACTATATTACAGAATAGTGTACAAATACCCCCTATTAAGCTGGCTCTGTCAGTATTTTGTGCACAGGCGGACATTATACCAGTAAATTTTGTTTTGGGTGTGAGAGGGGGGGGGGGGTTCACATAATTGTTTTTATGAATTTCTATGAAAAAAAAAATGTTGACAGAGCTAGGTTTTTCTTTTTAACGACCCCCCCCACCCCCCCCCCCCCCCTTCACCCCCCGATCCGCACCTGGAGATATGGTCTTCCAAACGGGAGAAATTAAGGTTCAAAGATTTCACCCGCCAATGTGAACATGTCTGTGTGCATGTAGTTTCATTCAATATAAAGTGTTACGTAACCTTTAGAAATCGCCCTTTGCAACCACACGGCTGAAAGTGCTCTATTTGACACACTCAATTTGTAAAATTTCAACTGATTGTCGAGTTGAGTTGAGTTACGTACATGGAACCACCTTGTTTATCATCAACAGCATAAAGAAATGTGAACCGCAATTGTTTTGGATGCTTTTGTGTGTGTGTGTGTGTGTGTGTGTTGGGGTTTTCTGGATGGATAATACCTTTGGCGATGGGCAGCCGCCCCATGTTTATGGGGGCTCTAACCTCTGCTTCCAACAGTGCATCCTAGCTCATGTATGGCTCCACGGAACTGCTCATGTACGACAGTGGCCACACCCCAGTATACTGACCTTGGCTGGTCTGCTGAACTACATGAGTGAACCTGTAAGGTGGATTCAGGGGCTGGCAGCTGCAATCACAGCATGGTCACTTTCTTCATGCAAGTGTCTCCGGTATGTTGTAGCAGACAGTCAAGTGGAGGAACTTGCTTCGGAGTCAACGGTTGTTGGTCATAAGGCGTAGTTAGTTCGCCACTGCGGGGCAGCCTTCTTTCATCCCAGCCGTCATGCCGTGCGTTCTGCTGGTTCAGATGAATGCAAGGTCTCGGGCATTCATTGTCCCGGGCAAGCATTCGCTCTCAATAACTTTTGCCTCAGCGCTTGGCGCCTCACAGTCATGATTGTACGTCTAAATTAGAATAAGCGACTGGCAAATCGGATGTCATCCTTTTTGGGGACTTTCGATGCCCGGCAAGGGTTGTGTTCCAGGCAGGCGCGTCTGGGTTGATATCCTGCTACTGCCTCCCTTGTGTTAGCTTGTTGGAATGTTCACTCCCTGAGTATTCATACATATCGCTAAACTTCTTCCCCAAGAAAGTCTGCGGTGGTCGACCTCTTACTCATCTGGGCATAAGTGTCTGTGCTCTCAGTGAGACCTGGCTTACCAGTAGTGGCTCGACTCGCGAGGCTAAGGGCAGTTTTACGGGAAAGGTTGCAAAATGAAAAATAGGAAATCGATGCTTTATTTCATAGGAAGACTTTGTTGGAATTTGCTGGTTTTTGTCTCACAAGGACTGTAATGTTGTAGCAATCTCCAGAAAAAAATTACAGCTCTGCGCATTATGGTTTTCAAATTATAAGCTCACATGGGTGCTAAAGCACAAGATTTGGAGTCTCATTCACATTTTCTAGAAACTGCAATTGATGAGAATTAAAAATAAATGCCATGGGAACCACCCAGACTTGCAAGGACATTGAAGTATGTCCCAAAAATATGTACACCAAATTTCATTAGGATTGGCCAACTCGTTCTTTTGTAATGCCGTTTTGAGTGAGACATTGATATGTTTGTTAAATGTTTTTTTTTAAATGTCCTTTCCTGAACATGGTATTTTTTTCCAGAATTAAAAGAAAGAATACACAACTTATTTCCTGTCAAAATGATGCTACACACTCCAGTATTCAAGTATAAAAAGATGGGAATTGGATAATCACAAGTAAATTTGATACAGCAGCAGTCGCATATGCCATGCAAATGTTTGTTAAAAATGTCCTTTCCTGAACATGGCCCCCCTTTTTTTACAGGAATTCAGAGATAAAACTTTTTTGACATAAACATGTACCTAGGGGTGTACTTACTAGATTTAACAGACTACAAAAAGAATCAGACTCGAACCTTGCTTGCTGTCATGACATTGTCGTTAAACTGCATTGTCCTTTCCTGAACATATAGTTTAACAGAGTACTTGGCAAAACCATTGTTGCAGAAATTTGATGAAGTTTATGCTTATATTGTCTGTAAAGTTTATGTTCTAAAATTAAAACCAACTAAATGGCAAGAAAGTGTTAACGTTTTGTTCTTACAGGTCATTTACTCACTCATGATTACACACACAATGAGTAAACATGTGCATATACATTTATCTTTACAAGTCACACTTAAATCCAATATTTGTCAGGAATTGGCTAATTTACAGTTTCAAACCATCCCTTCCACAAAATACACACATTAGTTTGAGTAAATGTAATAAAAAATTACTGTTTTAGTCTAGTTTCTGTGTATTCAAGTGTTCAGGATAGGACACTTTTTTAAACAAGTTTAACAACATCTGTTATACATTGTACCGCACTGTTTTAACAATTCTTTCTGTGTGCAGCCATTTCATTAGTTTAATTGCTATGAAAAATGGAACAGTCAAGCTTATGCACTGATCATGCACAACTTGTATGTTGATCCTTGTTAAAATGTGTGTCCTTTCCTGAACATGTTTGAAACATTTAACAAGGAACAAGTACAGATACACATGAACCTTCCTCCGTGCAAACATGTACTGTACGTGTGTACAAATTCTTTAAACTGTTTTGGGCTTGATGTGCCTATTCCTTAGATCCCATTTTGTAAAAAGCACCATGCTGACTGAATTTTTTTTCACTGGATGGTACAGTTTAATTATCTAGGCATTTCTTTGTGGGGCATGCACATGTACATGTATACATGTATACCGGTATCAGTGTCTCAATACAAAGTTATGTTTTCACCAGCAGTAATTATAATCATTTGAATGGACATTACTTCAGACCATAGAGCTAGACTAACTTTATTGTCATTCAGGAAATGCATGGTGCTACCAGTACCGGTATGCTAAGCATTGTTAAATATTTTGTCCTTTCCTGAACGTAAATTTAGTTAGGTGGAGCAATAACAAGGTACAAACTGATCTGCCTCACACATGTATAGCCTCCCAACTCTAGTTTTATGGTTATATTTCTTGTATTATGTTGCTTCATAAGATCAAACTTGACTGAATGTAGTAATTGTTAAAATTGTTGTCCTTTCCTGAACATAGTAAACCCTTTTCATAGCAATGATAAAGACCATGGTAACTCTGTAACGCAGCACACTATATACACAAATTGTTTTGCCAATTGTTCTACCATGTACACAGCCTTTGGACAAAAGTGCAAATAATCAGCAGGCTGCATGGTTTTCCGTAAATCAGAAATGAAAGTTTGTGTTTCAAGGAAAAGAGAGCTATAAAATTGAATTTTCCGTCAGTATATGAAAAAACATGGTATTTTTCATAGCCTAGAGTGCATTAATATTCAAGACATGACTACTGTGATGACTATCAATCATTTTAAAGCAACTCTAAGCATGTTTGAGATGTGGAATTAGCAGTTTATGATACCTACCTTTATTTGACAAATTTTATGGTCTGTAAAGTGTAAAGTGCCTTAAAATTGAAACGAAAAAATGTTTAAGCCTTGACTTTAACATTTTCTAGTACCTTTATGTATGTACTTTCAACAAATAAACATGTTGTATCCATACAACAAGTTTCATTTTTGACCCCCCGTGAGACTTTTTGCAACCTTTCCCGTGAAACTGCCCCTAACTTCTCCTTCTGGAGCGGTTACCCAGACAATGCAAGACCTATGCATGGAGTTGGCCTTGCAATTCAGAACTCTTTGCTCTCATGCATCCAACAACCTGTTTCCCATTCTCCCCGACTCATGTCCATGCGGATTCGCCTCAGTAGCGGCCTTGTCACTGTCATCTCTGCATACGCTTCAACTCTGATGGCTGATTCTGTGGAAAAGGAGTAATTCTATCAACTGCTTGACAATATTTTGCGTAGCATACCACCTGGGGATAGCATTGTGCTCGCTGGAGACTTCAATGCATGCATCGGATCTGATTTCAGGTCTTAGAGTGGTGTCATTGGTCCTCACGGCCTGGGCAAAATGAACGATAATGGGCAACGTCTCCTTGAGTGCTGTGCCGGCCATGACCTGTGTCTTACAAGCACATTCTTCGCAGGTTCACCTCGCTCCAAGGCCACCTGGATGCATCCTCACTCACACTGATGGCATCAACTCGACCACATCATTGTAAGGAAGGGGCAATTGCGAGATGTTCATCAAAGCCGTAGCATGCACTCTTCAGACTGCAACACTGACCAGGCCTTTATCTGCTGCAAGCTCAGAATGCAACCGAAAAAGTTTCATCAAGCTCATCCGAAGCCAACCAATGCAGTTGATACCTCCGCTACTTGGGACATCACACGCGTCACCAAGTTCCAAGAGCTCCTCACCGATCATGTCAGTTCATCCCCTACACCCAACAATCCCAGTCCCGCATGGTCCAGGCTTACAGTCATGGACTGCATTCTCACTGCCTTTGGTCGGCGTACTTGAACACAACCCGACTAGTTTTGTGATAGAGCTGACATCCTGCTCCCAGCTCTTGAGGCCAAACGTGCAGCCAGAATGAAAGTCACCATGCTTCATACCCGCTCCTCGTCATCTGCACTCCGTGCTGCTAAGAGTAACGTCCAAGGCCTTACTCAAACTGCCCTATGTCACTACTGGTCTGGTCTCAGTGCTCGCATCCAACATTGTGCTGACTCAGGGGACCTTTATGGCCTCTACAACGGTATTAAAGAGGCCGTCGGCCCTACCCCAAAGAAGAGTGCTCCACTGCTGTCTGCTTCTGGCGTTACCCTCACTGATCCATCAGCACGGCTTGACCGGTGGGCAGAGCACTACAGCTCTCTGTATGCTAGTGAAGCTGAAGTGAGCCCTGATGCATTAACCTCTCTGCCACAACTTCCAATCCTGCATGAGCTTGATAGCAATATAACTCTGGATGCAGTGAAACGTGCCGACCCAGACTGCGATACAAAGATGTCCTGAAATGTGATCTCGCCGCTTTTGGGATACCAAACATTACTTGGGAGTCAACTGCCAGCAACCGTTCCCATTGGCGCTCTGCTATCTACAATGGTTGCTCTACCTCAACACAGCTGTACTTAGATGACTGTGAGAGTCGCCGTCTTCATTGTCGTTCACGATGGGATGGGCCATGATGATGATGTGTATTTTTCCGTTTTTATGTATTCATTTCAAGTATTAGACACTCAGATTTGTTATATTTGCACAGCAAGAATTTCTGAATGCCCTCCACTGGTGCATGTACAAGGTGGCTGGTCACTAATTCCACCCAAGCATGCTGACACTGGGTGCACAAATCTTCTCTCTCATGACAATGCATGTATAGGGCTTAAATTTCCCATCATTAATGGAAAGGAAAATGTTGATATATTTATGGTGCAAGTTTTGATAATTTGGGTCAAGCAAATAGAAAAATGGGATGCTAAGATAGGCGTTGCTGATATTGCTGTACTCCATGAGTTTCGAAGAAAACAAGGAGAATGCCAGCTATCCCTGATGGATGTAAGCAATAACAATTACACTGTAAAGTAAATAAGGTATACATTTTGTAGCTATCCAGAGCCCATGCCAAAGACTCTACTCCGTTTGCTACAGATTTGAGTATGAACAATTGCTCTGTTGTTGTGAAATTAGCTTTTGCAAGAATTGACATACATGTACTTGATTTCGTATGTGTATTTTTTGTCTTCACAGTTTTATGGTTTGTTATGCTGCTGAATTCTCAACATTAACAGAGGACTTTGAAAATGGAGTACCTTTGGAACACTTGTTGACCTGTATCCAAGGTGTACGAGTAGGAGTGAGTCGAGACGGCTTCAAAACTGTGTGTTGGGAACAGAGTAAACCACAGCCAGAAACTGGTATGGAATAGTGCAAATATTTGATAGCTGAGTTTCCACGCAAAGATGGTGACATCACAAACTCAAAGAGTTTTTATTATATCTACGTATGTTCCATTTTGTTGCAGAGGGTTATAATCACAAACATGAAGCACAAAACTGTGGTACATTTTTTACTCAGAGACACTTTCACAGTCACTCTTCAGTGCACTGGTACTAATTTTGTCCCCGGCCAAAAGCTGTTGCTCCCTCTTTTTCTTACAATTTTTTAACCTTGAGCACTTCCTACCACCGATATTTTCTAGCCAGGCATACGCTTACAACATCATGTGAAAGCACACTTTGAAAAAAAAGCACAATGTCATGGTTGGTGGAGTTTTTTCTGGCAGACCGTTTGTTTGACATTGACATGTACATTCAGGCCACTTACAGTCATTTTGTGAATCATTGGCTACAAAATGTCACTATGTCATATATATATGTCTGCTATATTTATGATACAGACCTCTAGTTTCCTTGCAGGATGCACTGTTGGATTTTCCTGTAGTGCATTGATTGATCATTATTGTGATCATGATCAGTGATGATCATTTATGCAATGTCATTTTATGAACTCTGCAGGAACAGTAGATGGCAATTCATTGGGAGGTTGGTATGCATATGGCAAGAAGTACACACAACTTATTTTGTGCTGAATTTGCACAGGCGTCATCATCATCTGCAAAGCATTCAAGAGTCCCTCCCAGTGGTCTCTATCAACTCTCCCTTTGTAAACACTGGGAAAGTTCGCGCAAGAACTATTGTTGACCAATGGTTAACCATAGTTCGACTAAAATTAGCCCAAACTCTGTCTGGTCGACGATGGTTGACTACGCTAGTCAACTATTTGGAACCAGCCTACTGGGCCTGGTTGCATCGCTGGTTACCAATAGCCGCGGGCATTCATAACGTACAGCAGGGAGCCCGGACCCGAAGTTTTGCGATGACATTTTGACCAGACCTTTGACTAGAGACGTTCGCACATTGCTATTAGTACACAGGCGTAAGTTACGTCACAAATCAACCACTAGTTCAACGTGGAGTCTTTACACATGCACACTATTTAACCAAAATTTTAAGCTTTCATAAACCTCCTGTATCTTTATAAAAAATGCTCTTGACTTAACATCGATACAATATGTGTCTGTGCATTATGCACAATTCATAAGTACCCAAGACAGTTTACCCATTCCTATTGGTTGAGAGCCCATCACATGGCCGGTCTTAAGCGGATGATAAAGACCGGCTGGCTGGTCTTAAACACTTTCCAGTGCCACATGAAATTGGGCTCCTATGAAATCCAGTGCCTTTTTACCGTTTTATTGGTTGAACATTTACAATCCTCAAGTAGGCATGCGCAATACTACCAGTGATTCAGTATTTCATAGTCCTAACTTCAAAACGCAATTTTTGACTTGTTTTGAATCTTTGACCGAAAAATTTTGACAGAAAAGGAATTTTTCTGTCAGATTCCCCTGTTTATGGGACACCCTGCCCGCAGACGTTGTGGATAGCCTGATCTTTGGTCTGAACGCTTTCATGAGGCTAAACTGAGGTTACACTGGCTGACTCCTGGTGTGAACTACATCACCCTAAGTGTTGTACAGATGGGACTTTGCTAAACCTTATCCACAATCCAGTTGGCCCTTCTTTTAATCTTGTTTTTTTCCCCGTTTTGTTCTCGTTTTATGTGCTTGTTTGTTTGTTTGTTTATCTTGCTTGGGGCTTGTGTTTGTATGCTTGTGCGGTCGTTGCTTGTTTCCTGGGTCATTATGTTTTCCCAAGGCATAACTAAGGGAAAGTGAATGCTCCATGGTCACCGGGGGAGGCTAGTTTTACTACACCATTAGTTCAGTCGATTGTATTAGAACACCACACCCACAGATTATGCTTGATTTTAAGAGATTGCCGATTAAATTAACCAAAATCACATTAATGTGTACTTCTGTTGACTGACCTGAAACATACAAACAAAAGTTACAGGGTTCAAAATCAAAATGACAGGAACCCTTACTTTTGTAATGTATTAGATTTTTGCACTCAAATTTAATGTAACATAAATATAATGTAGAGATCTTTATTTGTTTAAAATAGGAAGCAGAAGCAGCACTCCTTTGCTACCTCCACAGTTATTCCAGTTTAGTAAGGAGGCAGTTGAGCTTCTCAAACACACTCCAAGATGCAGACTGGCCTTCTCAAAGTTCATTCCCAGCTACCATCATCACTTTGGTCGTCAGTGCCGTGTAGCAGACTATGGCTTTCTTAAGCTCATAGAACTTTTTGATGCAATATCACACGTGATGCAGGTACCATACCCATTAGTCCCAGTACTGCCCTGCCTGTTACTCCTTATACCACCCAAAACTGCCCCAGCAAACTATGGTTTGCGATTTCATCAAGAAAATACAATGTAGTACTATCTAATACAAGTGCTAATTGGTTAGAGAAGTTAGGGTCATTCCGTGTCTTTTTAACACAATTTTTCACCCGACCCTCACAAATTGAAACAATGTTTGGTTTGATGATTGGCGTATATGAGAAACCCCAGAACTGATTTTTGTTTGGTAATTTGGATTGTTAGTGTTGGAGATACTGGTCAAGGCTACTGACAAGAGCCGGCCTATCTCACCTGTTAGAATATGAAGTGCTGTTCTCAGTTAACTAAATTTAAAATAAATTGACCAAAACAAAATTGTGAGCCCTCCCCCCAAAGCCAAATCCTGGGTGCGCCACTGGCTGTTCCAGAATGGTGGTCATAGCGAGATCCGCCTGGGGGGCCACAGATGACCTGAAATGTTGTCAAATAGGGAATAGGGAATCCGCAATGTTGCTACAAATGCCTGACACATGAACTGCCTTAAACACCACATAGTGCATGAGGCACTGACACACAAAGCTCTGCTTTAACTGCATGATCTTGTAACAGCTGGAGGTCTGGTTATTAACAATATGCACTACGGTGCTATTATCTGTACGGAATCAAACGTTTCGGTTGGCCAGAAATGGGCCCAAGCAATGGACAGCCACCACTTTTGGAAAAAATTCCAGAAAGGCATATGGAGGGAGGGTAATTGTCTGTGGCCATCTCCCCTGAAACAACTTGCCCACAAAGAAACCACCTAATCCAATGCTCGCTGCTGCATCTATAAACAGCTTAAGTGATTTGTTGTCATCCCAATTACCATTTCGGAATTGGGACACTCTGTTGAAATGGTCATTTCAAACCATATCATTAGGTTAAATTTTGCCCCAGTCAAAATACGGATTTTATAGTAATATTTCCTTCCACTATAAATAGTGCAATAAGCCTCCAAGTAAGTGCCCTACCTGGAGCAATAGCCTGGCACACAAAATTAAGGGATTATAGCAATGATTGAAGTGCCCGCAAGGACACCTTCGACTTGTACAATGTTTGTGTGATCTTTTCACGCAGTGCTTGTGTGATCTTTTCACGCAGTGCTTGTACTTTCCCATCTAGTACCCTAACCTGCCTATGAGTCTATTTCTACTCCCAGGAAACAATCGACCGACTTTGGCTTGTAGTTTTTGTGAGACACTTACCAGTCCTAAATTCTGTATGACCGTAGACCCATAAGTTAAAGTTTAGATTTTTTTTTATAAGTTCTACATGCTTTCATGGATTTTGATGAAACTTGGATGCAGTGACCTTGGGTGGGGGTTCATCACAAATCTTCCCAATTGGTTGTCAAAGGTCATCTAGGGGCCATTTGAGATGTTTGTTTTTTTAAAACACAAAACATATAGGGATTGACCACGGAAAAAGGCGACACATGCGGTCCGCAAACCTCTTGTCTCTTCTGCAGTTAGCACCTCCAAACACTCCTTGATTGTCTGAAGCAAGAAATTACAATTCTGATCTGTCCAACCTAAAAATAGAAAAATCATCCAAATAGTGTGTAATAAAATGTGACTGCGACATACAACAACCATGAAACAAAAAGAAGTACTTAAAGTCTCAAAAAGGGAACAAGCAATTGAACATCCCATTGGAAGGCATTTATCATAATATCAGTTGTTAAACCGAAAACCGAGAAGTATATAATCCGACGGGGACACGGAAAGTAAGCAAAATACAGATTTGATGTTGATTTTGCCATCCAAGCCCCTGGCCTGGCCCCCTCAACCAATTCAAAAGCCTTATCAAATGGGAAGTAGTGAATGGCTTATTTATCTCTGTCAATAAAATCATTGATTGAGCCTCTTGATGGAAAGGATAAATGTTAGATTAATCTAAAGGAATTAGGCTCATGTTTTGGTACAAAACCAATATGCGAACATTGAAAATTTGAGTGTGGGAGCAAAGGTGCGGTCAATCCTGCCTAAGTTGATTTCTTTGTGCAAGATCTCTTTAACCACAAGTGGCCACTGCAAAGCTGAAGATAATCAGCCTGCATCCCTACTTACACGTGGACCGTCGTAACTCAGTTCAAAACAGTGAGAAAAATTATCCAGGAGAAAATTTTTCAGCCACATTATCAGGGTAGTGTAACGGCCATGTCTAAAGAATGCCAATATTAATTGGTGTGGGAGGAACAACAATTGCTTTGAGCCTTGTTGATGTCATCCACTTTGGCCGTCTGATCTTTAACGTTAGACCAGGGAACCCAGCTGTCCATCGGGAGTGAAAAATGGTCAACATGCCCATGTTTTGGGCTGTTCATGACAATACTATGGGGAATCAAGATGTCAACCCATGCCCATGGTCAGGCAAAAGTCAGGTTAACCCTGTAGCTGGTGGCCCGGTGGCCCCTTTTTAAAAAAAATAATAAATAGCATTTGGAAGTTAAAAAATAGGAAATGTGAAGCATACTTATTTTGGTCATTCAAGGTCAGAGATTATTTCATTATGTGTTTTCTCTGTGTATCATGCTATGATTTTTGTTTTATTTTATGAAATGGAGGCCATTCAAAGAGCTTTAAAATTATATAAAACTTGGCTCTGCAGGTGCTTACTTGTGGAGATGCATGTATTTAAGTGTAGAGGTCATGCTAATTAGTCAAAGGTCGGTTGACCCGTATCTCAAAAACTAACCAGTTAAATTACAAAAGAAAATCAGTTCTGCAGGTTTCTTTAGGCCAATCACTACACCAAATACAGGTTGTCCCACAAAAAACTAACAGTCGAAAACCAATTAATAAAGGTATATTGCATGTGGGTTTTGGAATATTTTCAAGTTAACCTCTTAAAAATTGGATAACCAATCTACCATACCAACTTTATTTCATTAAAATCGATCCATTGGAACAAACGCTATGCTTCATCGAACTTAAGGGTTGAAAAAACATTTTCTTGGGCCACTTTTCTTGAAAGTGAGAAAGCGCAGTTAGAGAAACACACAAAGGATTGATTTCCTTTGTTCAGGAGTAAAGTGTGACTTATTCTACCGGCCTCGATCCGTAAATTTGATAAATAAAAAAAGTGACCCAAGTGGTTTTTCAAGTCCCGTATTGTGATTGCTGTATCTTTTGAACAAAACATCGTAATGAAACCAACTAAAAAGCATTTGGAAGACTAATTATTCTTCTCAACAATACCTTAGCCACGATTTTGAATACTACCCCCACTTTTCTGAAAACATGCCCGATTTGACTGAAAATTGTGTTGAATTGACACGGAATGATATCTTTTCATTGAGTGGTCGGGCACAACCCGACCACTGTTTAGAATTGTTCTGATAAATCTTTCTTTCTTTTCTTCTTTTTGTTTTTCCGGACAATAATTCTTGGCGGGTTTTCTCCTAAACGGTATATGGTATGAACTTGTAACTTTCAACATATATCGACCCTCATCCCTAGTGGTGCATATTACTCTGACGTCATGATGACATCAAAAGATGTTTTTTTTTTTTACAAAATAATTGGTTGTACTGGAAAGGTTAAAGTTCGTGATCCTTTGTTCTGACATAACATATTCATAACTTAAATGGGCAGTGTCTAATGAAATAGTTGTCTGCCCGACCACTCTGCGTTTGTAACTGAACAAACGCGAACCTCTAGTTTATTTCATTGGACTTTTTTTTTAACAGATGATAGCCTCTAATGGCTGTATCTGTTGTAAAGGAACAGGCAGCATAGTTGCTTCAGGTATCTAAGTGAGGCTCTTAGCAGTGGTGCATCCAGGATTTGTATTGCTTAGGCAGGTGGCTGGGGTCTTAAACTCCAAGCTGTTTCAAGGTGGTTAAAGGGGGAGGGATTGGTGAGGCATTACAGTCAGTGTATAAAAAGACCAAAGGCCTTGAGCAATGCATAAAGATTTGCAACATTGAGTGATGATGTTTTTCAGGGAACATAAGGACATTTTGGATTTTTTTCAATTAGATTGATAATTAGCATTGGTGTGGAGGGGTGGTTAGCCATCCCAATCACACCCTTGGATCCCCATGTTTAGGAATGGTTTGTGCCTGCTTAATGCCTTGTGAGTAAATAGAATACAGTGAACACAACCCAGAATTTCTCTGCAGTTGGTCTTGTTGCTTTTAGGTTATTGATTCTTTGAAATTCCCTTTTTTGATGTGCATTTAATTTTACAAACAGAATTTAAGGAAGTTAGGGTACCCACCATACAGCTGTTAGATAGCACACAGTCAAAATGTTCCCTACTGTGTGGTATATTTTGCACTTTCACATTTGTAGTTAAATATGGATTGAACTCACTAATTTCTTATTGGCATTACAGTTAGTACTTTAAAGAATAATGACTGGAATGACCTTACATATATACATATACAGGTACTTGGGATGACTGAGAATAAACTACTGACCCTGACCCACCGTACACAGATCAAACGATTCTCACAAGACTTACTTAAAGTGCTCAAGTCACAAGCCAGCAGACAGGTAAAATGCTTTTTGATTTATCAATTTTTAAAAATATTTTGAATTAATTTTTTTTTATTAATATGGTCTTGTTGTTCATTTACCTTTATGCTAAATTTTGGTTCGGCGAAATTTCCGATTCTTTTTGCTAGTGCCAGTTTCATCTCTGATACTACAAAACTCAGCTGTCCACCACTGATCATTTATCGATATGCATTGATGAATACCCTTTTAATACAATTAACAAAAACCTGCTGAGGAAAACGACAAAACTAGGTTCTGTGTTGGTAAAATATGCATAACTTTTGATAGAAAGGATCAATTTTAGTAACTCTTGTTTTCATCAGATGAGTGGAAGAACATGCTTGTTTAATACGTGCTTCATTGGTGTATCAATTCTACTGCGCTCTACTTACCTGTAGAGTATTACTACATAATTCATTATTCCCTAGAGGGCGCTAGCCATTCGCTAAGATTTATTACCCACAGTACATTGCAATTTTTTTTTTTTTCGCGCATGCATACAGGACCAAAAGATTCTGAAATCGTACAGATGGCACCATTCCGCACCCGTTGATCAGCCGAAAACAATATCACATAATTTTCACAAGTTACAGGTGACCTAAACTCGTGAAAATTTCTGAGAACATTTAATATGAATTTTACAATCATGTTATGAGCTGAGATTGTCCAATATAAAAATAAGTCTGAAAAAAGATTTTAAGAGAAAATTCTTCAAACCCTGCGAGAAACAATCCAATTTTTAAAAAAATTGGCCGTCCATGCACGGTGACATCGTTTTTGATGGCGCGCGGTTCGTACATGTAAACGCACAGTCGGAAACTACAAAAACAATACCCACCTAAGGAATGCAAACCTATTCGCAATAACTCGCAAATCATGTAATAATATGTTTTAATATCTCATTCAAATGCTGTGATAAGTGGCATGTTTGGGGAAAGTGAAGAAAAATTTTAAAATCCCAACTTAAGTTGGCCCTTTTTGCCGATGATTGCATGGAATTGGAAAGCAAACAATGATCTAAAACAACATTTTCTTGAAAATGTCGATGTTTTATCACAAAGATAAGGTGAATAAAATTAAAATAAACTCATTGAATTTCATCTGGTATCATGTATTTCACTTAATCTAGCAAAATGAGCAGGATGTTTTCAGATGAAAATTGGTGTGTCTTTCCTCTCCGCGGCGCTGCCATTTCGACAGTCACTGGCATTAGCCGAGATTTTGGCGCATGCGCACAAACTAAGTGGAAGGGATGAACATATGTGTCACTAGTATACGCTTGTACGGCACGACTAATCGACCGTGAGGCTTTCGGGCTAAAAGTCAATCACGCCGTACCGAACGGACAAGGCTTTGCATGGGGGAGCAACGCACGCATTGCAAGCCGCTCACCCGAATCTACACATCAACATACCGACCCATCAGCGTGATTTTCGCTCTTAAGCCAATCCCTCATGTTCCACCGAATGTTTGGTGTCTTCGTCTCCAAAATGAATGCCGTTATTTACCCAGCAATACCCTGTTATTTAACTGGGAGTTTTTGTTATCTCACAACAGTGTTGCTGTACCAAACGAGTGAGACTTTACACAGGGCAAGTGTCGAACGAGTTGCAACCCACTCACCCCTTACCTACCCTACAAGTTACTGACCCATCAGCGTGATATTTCACTTTTAGCAAATCCCTCACGCTGCACCAACTACTCGTTGTTTTCATCTTCCACACGAACGCCGCTATTCACCAGCGATTCGCTGTTATTTATCCGGCAGCTTTCATTGTCTCACATCTGTGTTGCTGTACCGATAGAGTGAGAGTTTGCATGGGGCGAGTGTCACACTAGTTGCAAGCCGCTCACCCCTTAGCTACGCTACTAAGTTACCGACCCATCAGCGTGATATTTCGCTACTAAGCAACTCCCTCACGCTGCACCGAACACGTTCAGTGCTTTCACCTTCAAAACAAACACTGTTATTTAACCGGCAGTTTCATTTTCTCATAGCCGTATATTGATCAACGCGCGAGACTTCGCATTGACGAAAAGTTGTTAACTGCTACACCACAACTTACCGACCAGTCAGCATGATATTTCGCTGTTAGCAAATCCCTCACGCTGCACCAAATTTTCAGTGTTTTTGCCATCAGAACGAACGCTGTTATTTTTACCGGCAGTTTCGTTATCTCATTCATAGCTGTATTGACCAACATGCGAGACTTCACACAATCGACTGCAAGTTGTTACCTCCTATGCCACAACTTACTGACCAGTCAGCGTAATATTTCGCTACTTAGCAAATCCCTCACGCCGCACCCAATTTTCGGTACTTTTGCCTTCAAAACAAACGCCGTGATTTTTGAACCAACGTGCAAGACTTCGCAAAATTTGACTGCAAGTTGTGAAATCTGACTCCACAACTTGCCGACCAGTCAGCGTGATATTTCGCTACTTAGCAAATCCCTCACGCTGCACCAAATTTTCGGTGCTTTCATCTTCAAAACGAATGCCGTTATTTTTACCGGCAGTTTCATCTCATGGCTGTGTTGACCAATGTGTGAGACTTCTCAACATTGACTGCAAGTTGTTAACTCCAACGCACGCCTTACGGACCAGTCAGCATGATTTTTTTCTTTTAGCAAATCCCTCATGCTGCACTGATTATTCGGTGCTTTTGCCTTTAACAGTTAGCATGATATTTCACGGCCAGCAAATCCCTCACGCTGCACCGAAAACTTGGTGCTTCACCTTCAAAACAAAAGCCGTTACATGTATTTAACCGGCGATTTTGTTATCTCACATTTACATGGTGTGACGCTTCAAGCATCTTATTCTGTTCTGTTAATTTATACTAGAGCACTAGAGCGATACATCCTCCATTTGATAGGCCTATCGCTCTTTTACAAACTAGTTTTCTGGCCGCTCCAAGATTGTACCGGCCCCCACACTATCGTTCCGGACGTCATGACTACTGAGGGTAACGTCTGTTTTTTTACCAATCAGTTTATAAGGGCTTTTCCCCCGTTCTGAAATTATGTCATCCACTGGGCCCCCAAAGCAATACTCTTCGGTGATTTCCAAACTCAGTAACACCTCAAAGACTCGGCCAGGTGCCGTCCGTGGGGAGACCGACGGCCAAGCGACCGTGTCCACCGCTACTCCACCAGCATCGTCGGCCATATCTATGGCCCGGCAATCCCCGGTGCCAGGGCCCCGCCTGCCCGGGCGGTGATTCAACTTTGCTCACCCCAGCCCTTGGTTTCTCTGAAGCCCGGTTCATACTTCATGCGAAAGCGAATGCGAAGCGAAATTGAAATATTGAGTTGCAATATGTTCAACTTTTACGAATTCGCAGTGCGAATACTTGCCACGACGTCACAAATTCGCGTTCGCTTTCGTTTTCGCGCAGAGTATGAACCGGGCTTGAGTGGTTCATTATACAACAGAGTTCCCTGCTGCCTCTGGGGTCCCTCCACAATCTGACACTGATTCTTCTCAGAAGTAGAAGGCCTGTCTCCTTCTCAGCCTCGACTGGCCCAAAACTCTAACATACCCCACACGTTTTCCGTCCTCCGGATGCTCCAGTCGTGTTAGTATTTGCCCCTAGTTCTCTCGGCGCTCCTACGGACTTGCCGTCTGAAACTCCGGCCCACGACTAAGATGTTTTTCTCTTCCCTGTCACCTCGTTAGGCCGAACAATAGGACACAACTATGCCAGCCTCCATGACCAGGGCCCCCAGGGAGAACAGTTCATTGACAACTGATGGGGCTACCCTGGTAAAATAACACGAAATAAATAAATAAATAAATAAATGACCACGCTTTATTGCCTGGTACAACGAGACATGGCGCACGTATTGGGGTTCTGTGAACCCTACACCTACTACACAACCGAGATCATTTAAATGACAACAGCTCCTGACTCACTAGTCACACCCGATCCCACCCCAGTGGTTTCTTTCGATCGGGTTTGTTCATCCAGTTGGTGTTCGACCAATCCAAACTGTGTCGGCCTCCTTTTCGATCGAGTTTGTACTCCTTCCCGGCAGACGAAACAACCTATCGTTGCTGACGACGTGCATGATAAATATTTTGATGTCAAATTTCAGCCCTCCAAATGTCTCGAGTCCCTTCCTTTCCAAGGGCGACCCCTCTTTACCAACCAGTTTCAGACTACTACGAAGAAGATCACTTTGACGAAGGTTCATCCAAAACTGTCTTCCCAGTCGTCCACAGCCGCCAAGCAGTGGTTTTCATTCCACTGCTCAATGCCCTGCAAATCCACGGGCCAACTTCTGTCCTTCAGCCTCTACCACCGCCTTTCAGCCATGGTTCGGCTGGCGGAAGTAAATAATATATGCCCACAGACAATGGGCCACCCATCACAGAATCTGTGAGAACCCGTTTGACCCATTTCGACCGGTTCCTTGGACCAAATCACTTCAGCCCGGTGGGTACTCGACATCGTCTCACTCAGCTACTGCCTCGGGTTCACGAGTGCCCCTCATCGGACACACACGCCTGCCAGACTCGGAGTCTTCACCAGAAATATGAAGACACTAGCCAGTACCCTCCATCGTCAAGGTCTATAGATGTTGATAAACCTCGACGATGGTTTCATCATCAGTGAATAGTGGATATCAACGGCTTGCGCAGTCTGTCAGACCCGCTGAGTCTCCAAGAGCCTGGGTTTCTCATCAACGAGTCCAAATCCCAGCCAATCCCAACCCCCTGGCCCACCTATTTCGGTGCCATACAACGGGACACAACGTGGTTTCCACGACTTGTCTGCCTTGTCTACATTCCTCCGCCTTCTCAAGAGGCTGCCGCCATCGCAGCCCATAGTCGTCGTCAGTCAACCCGAATTGTTTGCCACAGCCGATTACGGCATTTCCCTATAAATGGTCTGTACGGCGTACAGTGGGATCCCTTCGCTACAATTTCAACCGAAGTTGGCGATTCTTCTCCACCTCTACCAATCGGGTCTTACGGTTCTCATTGTCTAGAACTATCGTTCTGCAATTGCATTCAGGTTTTCGGGATGGTTCTTCGATTTCCGATTG